GCCCCGATACTAGGTCACAGGTATCAGTGAACAGTAAGTTGGGATGCTAACATACAGATGTGCATAGCTTTTGGTTCAAAAAAGCTCTTTCTGACAAAAATTTTAAAAGCTAATTTCAGCAATAGTGAAATCAAAATCTCAAAGGTTATCATGGAATTTTCCAGAATTAACTAATACTTACTTTGCTCTTCATAAGCTATATGATAGAAAATAATTTTAGAGTAATTTTCTTTGGAACAATGTGAATGGATTTGTGTCTATTTTCATTTTTATTTGGGATATATTACTTACCACAATTAATATTAATTAAACCTCAACCCTGGTTGAAATTTGAAAAAATAATTTTATTTTCACAAAGTGTTTGCATCATATCAGTTTCATAGACACAGGGGAGACCATGGTTGTTTTATAAAGAAAATTTCATTAAATTGGAATAAAATTGCTCGAAGATCTGAAAAGACAATCTTGGGAAGCTAGGCAGCCAGTAACAGTTGAACAAAGTAAAAGGAGGCAAAAACATCTAGAAAAAAAGGGGGAGGGAAAGGCAGATATTTATAGAATGTTTACATTTTGTCTGCCACCATTCTGAACACTTTGCAAGTATTGATTCACTTCCATAAAAAGTCTAAAATTTAGGTGTTACAATCCACAGTTTTTGGAGAAAGTCCTTACAGCAGAAAAAAGGCCAAGGTCACGTGACATGAGTGCATTCTCTAGAGAGGAAAGTGAAGAGCCTAGAAACGCTGCGAGAACCCAGGCTTTTGGGGTGAGAGGCTGTGGGAATCGTGCTTTGTTTCCCGGGTTATATATTCATTATACCCTAAAGCTCCACATTTAGGCAGACAGAGCTCTTAATTGCTGCTCTTAACCAATGATTCTGTAGCATTAGAAGCAAGGGGCTGGAGAGGAACAGAAACGGGAAAAAAAAAAAAAAATGAAGTTAGGACCGTGCTGTTGCTTTCATTTTTGTTTTTTAGGACAGGAGCCAGTTTATCTCCATTCAGACGCCCACTCTGTCACATCAGATGATCCTGCCTCGTCTTTCCACGCTTGTCAGTTCTTCTCCATGCAAGTTTTCACCGAGGTGAGAACCAAATATTTTCCAAAAACTAAACCTGGAAACTACCTGGAAATGAGAACAACAGATTAGCATCTTAGAAATTATGAGTGACCTTGCATCTAATGAACCTTGTTTTGTCTGCTCATCCTATGCAAAATGTGCCTCAGACAAATCTCATGACTCTTAAGGTCAGTGAAAATTTTATAGATAATTTCAGGTTGTATTCAAATATACTAAGCTAATGAAGAGCCCAACAGGACTGATATCTTAGTGAGTAATAAGGGACGCACTAAAACCTTATGTATCATTTCACAAAAAATCAGTGCAATAGTTGTTTTATACACACACGCATGCGCGTGCACACACACACACACTTACATAAGCACAGTGGTAATGAAATTAAGAATTTTCAGTGGCAGGGTTATAGGTCAGCGACACAGCACCTGCTTGCTAAGTATGAGGTCTCGAGTTCAATTCCTGATACCAAAAAAGCAGGGGGGGGGGGTTCAGAAAAAAAGTTTTTTGATTTTTGGGCTTTTGTGGGTTTTTTTGGTTGTTCCTTTGTTTTGTTTTGTTTCCGGCTGAAGAGATAATACTTTGGAAAAAACTGAAAGATAACACATAAAAAGCAGCCGGTCATGAGATTCTCTGGCCACCCCCAGTGAGGAGCAGACTTGGTAACAGCGAAGGTGAGGCTGCTTGCCCAGGGCCCTGCGGCTGTTGCACTGGGCTTTCCCGATGGCCAGGCAGGCTTCATCGCTGCTTCTCACTGACCAAAGTGCATCCCGAAGAAATCATGAGCTTCTCTGAAAACTGTCCTAGCTGTGATTGAAACTTCTTTTTTCCAGTATTCTTATTAAAGATTACATATTACCAATTGAAAATTCCTTGGATTTTTACTTTTTTTCTTTTGCCTTTCTTCATCTTTCTGTTTTAATACACACCCTTGATTTCTCACACATTAGACTAGACACACCAAATGGATACACACTGTCAACTTTTTAAATAGGTACTCTAGATGACTCCACTTTATAAGACATAAAATCTGAATACAGAGCACCTCGAAAGACTTACACATAATTTACAAAAGTCCTTTCTAGCCCTCATGCTCAAGTTTAAGTATATGAGTTTATAGATTGCTTTTTTATATTAGATTACTATATTAAATTTAGACATGCTATGCACAGATAGCTATTTTGAATGTCCAATAGCATTTCTATGAAAGTTTCAATATTAAAAATAATATTATGCAGTTTTTGTCCTCAGAATAACTTGCATAAGTCAATTTAGCCTCCAGATGTAAAACAGCATCAGAGGGTACATATATCACATGTAAAACCAACTCTGCTGAAAGGAACTAATCAGACTTCACTTCTCTCAACCATATAATAGACTGAATTTCTATTTGCTGAATCTCCATAAATTTTTGTTTGCTCAATCCCCATGCTTTCTGTATGTTCTTTTCACATAGAATCAATACTGAAGATGCTGTGGGGAACAGATCTATGTCCCTTCTGTCTGCCTGTTGAAATTCTTTTGGAAGATGAAACAAAGAAATAAGGAAACAAATTAGTAAATTACAGAACAATGCAATTACAATGACAAAATACGAATTTAATTCTAATACAAATATGATGATATTGAGTTTTTCTAAACAAGAGTGTTCTACCTTGAATTACTGTATACATGTGTGTGAGAGAGAGACACGAGACAGAGAACAAAGATTTGTTTAAGAATTAGCTCAGGCAGTTAGAGAATGAGAAGTTTCAAGGCATGTCCTCAGTGAACTGAAGAACCAGGAAGCTGACTGTACACTTCAGGCTGAGTCTGAAGACCTGAGGTCCACCAGCGCCAAAGATACTAACACTCAGTTCCTGGCCAAAAGTCCAAGAAACACAAGTTTCCATGTCCAAGGATAGAGGACAACTATCCGAACTCAAAAAAGAGAGAGATGATTCTTTTCTTTCTCTCTTTTCTTTTTTTTCTTGCTCTGTAAGCACTGTAAGCAATTTGGCTAATGTCCACCCATATTGCTGAAAGTGGGTCTCTACTAGGTCTATCATATAGATCTGCATATTATATGCAAATCTCTTCTAGAAATACTGTCACAGATATACTCATAAAGAATGTCTTATCAGAGTTTAGGGTATCACTTAACCCCATCTAGTTGAGGTAAAATTAACCATCACACTGTTTTCAGCATCATAAAAATCTATTTTTAGAAAAGATGAAAAAACAAGCTACAGACTGGGCAAAAATATTTGTAAATTCAAATTCACACGTGTAGATGTAGTTATATTAAAAACAGAAACTTTAAAAATGTGAGGAGAGGAGAAACTGAGAATTTGTGTTTTTGAGGATTAGGCAAGTTTAAATGCTAGAGGAAGACAAACTGAGTTCTCTTTTAGTGAAAATTGACTTGAAATACTAATGAAAAATTCCAATTAAGATTTCAGAAATATTTGAGAAAGAGAATTTAGTTACAAGCTATCTAGATATTTTTATTAAGAATTATCATTTTTACAGAAAAGAAAATGTCACCACCTTGTATAGGCTATAGTTCACTTTTTATATAGTTTCTGATTTTATTAAATACTTTATTACTGATACAGGACATGATTTAAAGAGAAAGCTGTATATTAGTCTTCTTTCAATAAAATGTCTAATTTTATATCATCATTCACTATTTAAAAATCATATTTTCCATTTATCGTTATTCAAACCTTAGTACATTTTCTTATTTCAACTGTTTTCTATCTTCATATCTAAAGCAAACCAAAGAATTTTAATATATGGATATTAACTGTCTATTGCCTATATTCCTATCTAATTCATTTATTCTTAAGATACCCTTGGATTCTGGAAAAATTTCTAATCCAAGTAAACAAACCAAACAGGTGGTCAGAATTAAATCTATTAATATGCCTTTTTTTCTCATTGTACACTAAACTCACTTCACATATACAGGTAAGATATAATTATCATTTAGGAAAATTCTCAGTAAAAGCAATAATCACATAATGTTATTGTGTGTACCAAAATAGTTTCATGGTAGGAGACATTTTCCAGGAAAAGGTTTATGTTGTTTTTGTTTTATTTTATTCACTTGTTTTCTTAAACTAGTATTTACATTTTCTTTCCTAGAGTAAATATGACATTTTACTCCTTTAAATAATAGTAGTTTTAGGAATTGAATAAAAAGTGGAAAAAGGCTTATTTTGCCATGAATGAGAACCAGAAGTTTAGATTCTGAACATAACAGAAAAGAAAATAATCACAAAGAAAGTGATTGAGACTTTTCTGAGTCCTCATAAAGACTGATACTGTTTTCAGCTTACACTTTTTTTTATGTAAAACCACACGACATAATTAAGTCAGCATATCAGAGTAACAGCTGCTTTGCAATAGTTGCATTCTACTCTGTTCTAGTAGATCTCTAGATCCCTAAAAGACTATTTTGCTTTCTGATTGATTAAATCGATATGTACATTGCATTCAATGCTCCTTTTGCTCTGGAGATTTTGAGTAGGTGGTAAAATAACCATGTACTTTATCCTTCAGCCTGAATCCATTTGGAAATTGAAGGAATGCCTTGATAACCACCCAAGGACTTTGGGCATAAACCCAGCTTTCTCAACCAAACTAGGACTTGTAGGAAAATAACTATGTATGTTCTTCTTCATTGTTTTAGAGCCATAAATGTTAAACAGACATCATACTTTAGAGCATTCTGTAAACTTCTCTACGCAAGCAAATATATTAGTTCTGAATAAATATTTCCAAAATTTTCATTATGATAGATCATTAAATCAAAGTTAAAATAGAAGAGAAAGACAGTTGGGTATGCTTGTTTTTCTAAGCAATATTATTTTATTTTCCATATATATATATATATATATATATATATATATAGAGAGAGAGAGAGAGAGAGAGAGAGAGAGGCAGAGAGACAGACAGAGAGCTCAGAGTCACATAGAGAAAAAGAGCTGAGTCAGAAACCCAGTTTTAGTTTCCCCTATGCCAGTTTCATCTGTGAACTTTATTTTTGTACCTATTTCTTCTATTTACATACATAGTGGAAAACATATATACTGTTTCATAGAAATTTTCTGAAGTTGAAATAGTCTTGAGAAAGCAACTTAAATACAATGTAAAACATGTCTACACACACAGTGTATTTATTAGATATTAATTGAAACACTTTGAAGTCACATAGTGTGCATTGTGATTTTTCACTTCACAAATCCCTGAGTTTTATGCCAGGTGAAATCCTGGGAAGCAGCCTCATTTAAATAACAGAAATCTGGGGACAATTTTTTCTTAGTGAGAAATTCCTCAACTGAATATTCCCGATATATAAAAGCATAGGAGAATCCTTCAAAGTGATGTTTCTCTTTTTTTAAGCATTTTTAGGCAAAAGAAGTTTACAAAATATTTTGGTAATAAAATATATAATGTGGTATTTATGATATATTTTATAAAATGTATCAAAAACAGTTTGATGGTCTTATGGGTTTTATCTTCTTATTATCAAGGAGTTAAACAAATTTGATTTAATTCTACATACTTAGGTAATTAACTAATTTTTGCTCCTTTTTCTGTAACACTTATTTGGAATTTCCTCCCACCCCATCCCCGTTTGAGAGAGAGTTTCACTGGCCTTGAACTCACAGCAATTCTCCGGCCTCAGCCTAATGACTGCTAGAATTACAGGTGTGCACCACCATGCTTAGCAGAATTTCCATTTTTAGAACTACTACATTTTGTAAAATCGTTTACCTTTTTTTGTGGGGGGAGAGAGCTGCCCATGGTTTTGGAAAGAAAAATGAAGGTGAAAAAGGAAATTGCCAACTTGTTAAAATTCAAACTCATTAGCAACAAAATGTTGGTATCCAAATACAGCAATATTACATGTACCAAGCATCTCAATAAATAAAATTTTCTCCCAAGTTCTCTGAATGCTATTTTAAAGGGCTATATTGGTCTTTTATCACCATGGTTACTAAAATAATAAAAACTATTAAGTAAATTTCAATTTTTCTCCCATTATAAATTTCTTAATACTAACTACCATTGATTGCATAAGCAGCTACATATTTGGGAGAATCATGTGGCTCTTGAAATGAGGATAAATATAAGTTCCATTGAAACCTTGTTCTGAGCATTTCTTTGTTAGACTTCAGCTTTCCCAATAGCAGATATTCCTAAACTGGGGGGAGTGAAGAACTGAAACAAAAGGCAACGTTATTTGTATAGATTTCAATGTTTTTCTTTTCTTTTGACCTCTAGCATATTCTAAGATTTGTAAATACTGTTAGTTTCTGTTGAGTTTTTCTTTACAAAACATTAAACTTTGAAACTACATATATGGTTTAAGTTAAAAATCAAGTCAGCAAAGTAAAGATCTGTCGCACCAGGCATGGTGGCCCATGGCTGTAATTTCAGCACTTGGAAAGCCAAGGCAGGAGGATCTTTGCAAGTTCAAGACCATCGTGAGCTACAAAATGAGCTCAAGGTTAATCCAAACTGTATAGTGAGACACTGTTCAGAAAAAGACACACACACACACACACACACACACACACACACACATTGTAAAAGAAAAGATCTATCTAGAGATAGACACTATAGGTATGTAGATACAATGTCCATAAATGGACATTGGTATACAAGTGGAGCTCTGTAAAATTATATGCCATCACCCAATCCAAAAGACCCACACATTACGTAAATATCACTAGCCTGAGCCTTTGTTAAAGTGGCAACTGTTTTTCATATCCAAGTATCTTTTATTCAGTACCTCATTAGGCTCCATTAGTCAAAAACTGAGATACATGATCCCTGGATTAAGAAAACTAATATAACTTGCATAAAGGTGAATTTAGGGACTTTTTTTCTAGGCTTTCTCCTGAGACATACCTATCTTTAAAACAGTGCTTTCAACCAAGGACAGATCTAAAGAGATTTTAGCTACCGTCACACGGAATTGAGTACGGGAGGAGTACTTACCACTGGTGGTATGGGAAGACACCACAGAACATCCTACAATAAATACAGTAGGTTTCACAACAAAGAATAAACTGACTTATAAAGTAAGCAGTGTCAATGTTGAAAAATCAGGATTTAGATCAAAGATAACGGATTTCAGTACTAAGTTTGCTGTAATCAGTGGTAGCTGGTTGAAGTGTTTTTCCTCATTTATTTTGTTTCTCCAGAAAAATTTGAGGCTATTTCCAGTCATAAGAGAAATAATGTTGATATTTCCCTGATCTCTGACATAGATGCATAAACACAAGACATTAAATTTTCTATTTGTATTTTAGATTCTGTAACCTTGGAATTCCAAATTGTTTGCCTGGTATATCAGATGGATAATAATGTAAAAATCTTATTTAAAGTTTTTCTTCATTGTCTCTAATTACATTTACTTCTTATTTCTTTTGGCAAAATAGAAGATAACTCAAGACTGGGTCAAGCAAGTATAGAATTCTTTTGAGTTCAAAAGTATTTCCTCTGAGAACCTATAGTAGTACCTATTTCCCCTTCTCAGGTGTCATTGACATGCATTTATGAATACCTAAAATTCTATCTCCTTGTTCACTGATAATGTTAACAACTGAAATTGTATATTTGAATTTTAACAGAAGATTACTAGGATCAATGCTTTGTTTTACATATATGTATTTTTATGTATATACCCATATTCACTTATGACAGAAAACAAGATAAAAATGAACATTAACATAGTCAAGATTAACCATTTCTAAAATATATCTTCTAGATACATGAGTTAAGACATGAAACTATACGCATAATTTCTTTACCAAATCATAGACCAGAAGATATTCAAAACCACTCAAAAAAAAATGTTTGATTGTGATGTCCAAAATCTAATACATTTGCCTTCCTAACGGCAGAAGCAACAAAAACATGTTTTGTAGAGAATGAGGTGGTAATTATCATCAACTTTTATGTTTAACAGTGATAGGATGTTATTACAGCCATCATATCTACTAGTGTCTTATAATCAAATTTAAACATAGTCTTGGAGTAGCAGAGCCCAGCTCTGTGATTTAGTGACAAGAAAAAATAGCACATTTCATGAAAGATTCTAAACATTCCAAAGGAGAAAAACAAAGTCACTTACACAAAGACCCAGTTAACACTTAGTGCCCCACCTTAGATTTTTCTCCCTGTGCTTAATGCTCTCCATCCCAAAAACTGGTTAGTATCTTTCCATGATAAGCATTTTGTTTTTCTCCTCAGAATTTGTCAGTGTTATCTTGTCTCTTGGCTGTCAGACTAATGCAGAAATACCCATGATGGCCAATAAGGCCATGCACAATTCAGCCGTTCACCTGTTCCCTGACTTTACCCATATCTTGCTTCTTCTGTTTTAGCGTCATTGGCCTAAACAGATAAAGTGGCCCTAACACAGGGATTTTTTCAATTAGCTATTTGTTCTGCTTAATAATCTCTTTTGGGGTTGGGGATTTAGCTCAGCGGCATAAGCACCTGCCTTGCAAGCGCGTAGCCATGAATTCGTCCCCGATACCAAAAAAAAGGAAATCTCTTTCACTGCATTTCTGCATAATTTGATCCTTAAATTGTTCACTATCCTTGTGCAAAAAGTCACTTTAGTCATTTAAAGTGCAGCTGTTCTATCCCAGGCTTCACCAGACACTGGCCGTGCCCGGTCCTCCTTTCTAACCTCATTTTTTCTCCAAAAGATTGCTTTGTTGTCACTGTTATTCTTTTTCTTAATTTGTCTGAATAATTTGTCTGAATAAATTGTGCATTAGCTGGAACATTTTTACCTTATATATTTTTAAACTGTTGCATATAATGTACTTAAACACCATATTATCAATGCATGAATGATACAAACTCAAAAGATCTAAAGCTATTAATTATAAATCATGGAAGCTGCCATTTTAATTTTCTTTACTGAGCATAAATTCTCCCAGAAATGCAGACTGCTTTGTGTGTGTGTGTGTGTGTGTGTGTGTGTGTGTGTGTGTCTTTAGTTGAAATATAGAATACAATTCAACCAGTTGCAAAAATCAGATCACAGTAAAACATTAATGACTTTGCTTTTATTAGCTTGCTTCTCCCCTTTGAATTACTTTTAAATTATTAAAGGGACACTATGAGATCACGTACACTCTTAGGGTTCCGCTCCTTGCACAGTACCTGGTTCCTACTGGATTATCAGTAAATGTCAGTTAAATTAAAGAATGACTGATTTAATAACAGTCAGTAGTTAGAATTAGTAACAGAATAGTTTCTAAATTCATCTTTTAAAATATGCACCTTACAGTTTCTTTTGTGTGTGTTTATTCATCAATTTTCCAGTTGCTGAGATGAAACAACTGATACTTGCAACTTAAGAAGCAGAAGTTTCTTTTGGCTCAGGGTTTCAGAGGTTGGAGATTGCCAGCTATCTCCAAAGCAGACGCGTCATGTGATAAGGATATTGTAGAGCAAGCTGCTCACTTCATGGCAGTTGAGAAGCAGAGTACAGGGAAAGAGGGCCAGCAGAGACGTGTCTCCTGTGGTACTGTGCACACCCCCAGGGACTCACTTCTTCCAAGCAGGCTTTGCTTCTTAAATGCACATTCAGCTGTAAACATCAGTGGATTAATTCAGTTATGGCTGTAGCATCTCTATGACCAAATCACCTCTCCAGGAGTCTCTTAACCAGGAAAACTGACAGTTTAGAGTAATTGACCCAGTATCTTTCTATATAGCTCCAAAAATACATAAAAATTTTAAAATAGCTAGTCTCTATAAATAATCTTTCATTTTGAAGGCATACTGATGAGCTCTCTCACATTCCAGTTCAATTCTTACTTTACAGTGATATCCACAGGAAGACAATCTTTCATTTTAACTGTAATTTAAAGCCCATATTAGGAAATCTCTCTTTATCACAAGTATAAAATCTATACAATTTTTAGAATGACATGTGTTTCACTGACAGATTATGCGAGTACATTTCAGGTCTTCTGAATTCAGTCACTCATGTTTTAAATAAAATTCTATGCCAAAAAAAAAAAAAAAAAGAAAAGCCAGACTTTCTCTCAGCCTTAAAATTTTAAAAACACATTCAACAAAGTTTAAATTTGGAATTGTATGCTCTGAGTCGGAGACCAAATTAAGTTTTTACATTTTGCTCTAATCTTCTGTCGTATAAGCTTTATTAGTTTTCCAGGACCGCTATAACAAAGTACCAAAAACCAGGTGGTTTTCAGTGACAGTAACATTCTGCCATGCAGCTACAAATGTCCAAAATCAAACTGTCAGCAATGTCATGTTGCTTCCAAATGTGTGAGGAAGAATCTGTCTTTTCCACTTTCCTGATGGTTTACTGGTCGCTGTAGGCACTCCTTGGCCTGCAGCTGCATCACCCTAGTCTCTACTCTTGGCTGTTTCTTGGCGTTTTCCCATGATTGTCTATGTATTTTTCCCTGAAGATGTTAATCGTATGGGATAACAAACCTCTCCTATTCTAGTGTCACCTCTTCCTAACTAACTGCATATACAATGACCCCATTTATAAAAGTTCACATTCAGAAACACTGGGGATTGAGGCTTCAACACATCCTTTTTGGGGGACAAAATTCTATCTATAATAAAAGCAATTTTACCTTAAGAGGGTAAAAACTGTAACAGCCTCTTGCTTTTCTTGGGAAAAGCAAAATGACATTGTACCCTGGGAAGTAACAGGATGTAGTGACTGAGAGTAAGGACCCTAGTAGAACCACTGCACTGATTCTTAAAAGAGAAAAGTCTGCTAACAAAGGACGAGGAAGATATTCCAATGGTTAAGTCACATAGTTCCAAACTTTATTAAGCCTGAAAAAGAAAATAAAATGGAAATATACAGTAGAGAAAGCTGCCCAGGTCTACTTTATAATCAAACGATCAAGGTGATCATCTGCAGTAATGAGCCACTTTGAGATCACACACTGTGCTTTGATGAGATTAGAGGGATACTTTTCAACCTAAAATCCCACAGCTGCACCCTTATCATGTTAAGGGTGTTCAACAAAATACCTGACCTGCGCTTCTCAAAAATCTCAGTCTTCTGTGGCTGAGATCTGGTCATGTATTGGCAACTAAAGAGGGAAGTCATCAAAATACAGCCTGGTAACCTACTCCAATCCCAAACAGAAAAAGAACATTAATGGAAAATAGACAAAGTCTGAATGAACCCTGAAGATAGGACCAATGTAATTTCTTAAATTTCATGATTATATAAAATGCAAATGTTAGGAGTAGAAGAGTAAAAATGATAAAGGAACTCTTATTTTTATCACTCATCTGAAAATCAAAAAGCATTTCCAAATAAGTATGAAAATAGATGAGGAATGGAGTCACATATTGTTCCCCTTCCCAACTGTCTTAGTTACTTTTTACTCGTCACTGAGACAAAATACCTGAAGCCCAAAGTTGGCGAAGGAAAGGTTTATTTCTTACAGTTTTTGGAGGTTTCAGTCCACACTCAGTTGGCTCCAAGGCAGGTGGGCATGGCTGGGCTGCAGTTCATGGCGGCTGCAAACAGCAAGCAGGAACCAGCAAAGAGCAAGACACACCTTCTTCATGCCATTACATCACATTCTGGCTCCACCTCTATGTGGGTGGAGCACTGACATCATCAATCCAAGCACTAGACAATGAACCAATCACAAATACACAATGCAAACTCATGAGGCCTGGGGGACACAGACATAAACCATGACACCAACCAACTCCACACCACTGGATTCTGCACTCTGAGCAAGCACCCCCCCACCCCCGACTCTGATCTGGCTCTGATCTGACTCTGTGTTTCCTTCCCCTTTGGCCTATAGCTTCTGAGCTGGCTGCTGACCAGCTGACAGGCTGCCTGTAGACAGGCTCAACACCTGGAGACAGAAAGTAAACTAGGAGACTCGGGAGATCTAAGGAAAAATCACAGACCTGGCCAGCAGAACTGGCCACCCAGGAAAACCACAACAGTTGGAAACTACAAAACAGCATGGGGTTTTACTTCAAAAGTGACTTCTTCATGCAGGATAGAGATGGAAGATAAACCCAGCGAGATGCATGCCATATTTTCAGAAAGTGTTGAGTCAGGGGGTCTTTGTTTTGCTTTGTGTTTTTGAGGTAAGTTCTCACTATGCAGCTCAGGCTGGCCCTGAACTCATTTTATAGTCCAGGCTAGCCTCAAATTCACTGTAATCCCCCTGCCTCAGCCTTCTGAGTGCTAGGGTTACAGTTGTGCACCACCATGCCTGGCTTCAGGGGCCATTTTAGGAAGAAGTTATTGTGTAGGACAAAATTACAGAATGAGTTTACTTCAGGATTTCCACTGTTACACTCCCACAGTGACTCAGTGAGACATGGCGAGAAATCATTGCAGAGAGGGTATGGACTACCCACAGACACCCGGAGAAGTTTAAGCTCAAACCAGAAGGGACACACTCATTCTCAGTAATAAGAAAACAGGCCCGGAGAATGTGGCTTTCAGAGGTGGCCAGGCCTGAAAGCACTGGTTAAAGTACAGCAGTTTGCATGAATCCCCACCCCACTGCCCACATGCAGTGGACACCAATGAGTTGCCTGACTTTTTTTCCCAACTGCCACATGTAAGCAAATACACACCTCAGGTGGGATGGTTGCCACAGTTGGGTACAGAGATAACAGGGCATCTGGAACAAATCCACAGGTGCAAAGACAGACAGCAAAAACTGTGATTTGCTGCATTCCGAGACTGCACATCCTGGAGAGAAACCTTTCAATTAAAGATACAGGAAAATGGGGGTGGTGGGAGAATGCAGGAGTTTTCTTTTCCTTCACTAATCATACGGGAAGGTTGGTGTTTTGTTTTGTTTTGTTTTCTCTCCTTTTAATTTTTTTTCTTCTTTTCCTTTACTTTGATCTGTATTTTTTTCTTCTTTGTTTCCTTGTGTTACTCTTATTAATGCTATTAATTTTCTTTTACTACTCAATAAGGTCCTTTATACTACTTCTCATTTTCCCTTAATTTTTCAAATTTAAATTTTTTTTAATTCTTTTATTCCTATACTTTTACTAAAATATCCATTAAGGTTTATGAATATTTACATAGTTAACTGACAAAGAATATTCAATTGTTAGTCAAAGTATAGGTATCACATTTAGTTTATATTTACTATATGCCCGTATTTGCTTTCTCTTAATATTTGTACTATAATTATAAATCTGTTTTCTATACTTAAGGATGGGTACACTACTGCTTCTTAGGGCATTATTGACCTCTAGTTTGCTTTTAATTATCTATTTTTGTTGCTTATTTATTTATTTGTCAAGGCAGCATAGGTTTGCTATTACAATGGTACCTCAGCTTGAAAAATTAATTTTTCCATGAGTCTGATCACAAACCAAATCGGATGAGGACTGAGTCAAATTTCCCCATAAGGTTAATACTGAATCTGGCCACTGACATTGATTTTGTTCTCATCCAATTCAGTTTCCAAGTAGAATAGTGCAGAGAATTAAGTTTGTGAAGTGAGGTACCACTAAAATTGGTTTTTCTTTGTATGCCAAAATATGGGTTGCCTTTGTGTCATTTACAATACTCCAGTCCATTCTGAATATTCTGAGTGCTAGGCAAATAAGCTGTACCATCTCTCCCAAATAAAAGCAGGAGGTCAGACCATGAGACAGAGACAAAGGTCTATAGTTATACACCTCCAGAGGGCTTCACTGAAAAGCACACTAATTAAAGAAGTCTTCATACTAGCAACAAACTCTTCCACAATAATCAACCTGCAAACCTCAGCACAAAAACAGCAACAACAAAAACAGGAGATGACAAGGCAAAAAAATGCCTCTAAAACTCCCAACTCCCCAAAAGCTGATCCAGGGGCATCGAAGGTAAGAAATCAAAAGTCAAAGAACTGAATTCAAAAGTGTATGGAAGAGATTAAACAAGAAAGAGAATCAATAAAAGGCTTGGTTACCTCGAAGAAGATATAAATTAATAGAAAATGTTCCCAATAAAATGATCAGTGAAATGAAAGTAGAAGTCAGTGACAAACTATGAAAATTATGCAAAAGAGTTAAACAGTACAATCTTGAATAATTAATGGGTCACAGAAGAAATAGCCTAATGATGTACCTCAATGCCTTACAAAAACAAGAATAATTCATATATAAATCTAGAACCAGAAAGGGTATTATAAACATCAAAGCAGAAATTAAAATTGAGATTAAACAATACCAAAAATCTCTAAAGTGAAGAGTTGATTCTTTGATTGAATGAAAAATTACACGAACTATGAGCTAATATTAATAAAAAAGGAAACAAAAGACAAAAATCAATGTAATTAGAAATTTTAAAATGTGAAGTCACAATGAATACCACTGAAATTCAGAAGCTCAACAAGTACTTCAAAAATCTGTACTCCAATAAATTGGAGAATTCAGAAGAAGTGGATGGTTTCCTACATACCTATGAATTAGCAAAACTGAACTAAAAAGACATAAAAACCCTGAATATGCCAACAACAGGCAGTGAAGTTGAAGTAACAGTAAAAAATCTACCAATTAAGAAAAGTCCAGGTGCCATGAATTCACTGCTGAATTCTACAAGAACATCAGGGAAAACCTAACAAAGTGCTGGTCAATGAAACTGAAAATGACAGAGTACTCTTAAAGGTACTCCTGGAACACAGAACTACTTTGATTCTAATACTAGACAATGATCCAAAAAAACTAAACACTTTAATGAACCTATAAACAATAATTTTAAACAAGATTCTGGCAACCAGAATGCAACAGATCATCAACAGATCACACACCATAACTAGTAAAGTTCATCCCCAGAATGCAAGGATAGTTCATCATATGCAAATCAATAAATGTAATGTATCATATAAAAAGATACAAGGACAAAACCCACATGATCACCTCAATACACTTAGAAAAAGCCTTTGATAAAATCCACTCATGATATAAACATAATTATTATTAAAGAAAATACATATGAAAGGATCTTATATCAATCTGATAAAAAGTCATTTATAACAAAAGTTCTGCTGACATCCTATCAAAGGAAGAAAAATTGAAATCTTCCCTCTAAAATCAAAAACAAGACAAGGATGTCCACTATAACTATTTCTGCTCAACATAGTACTTAAAAAACTAACCAAATGAATCAGACATAAGTAACAAAAGGAATATAGGTAGCAAAGGAAGAAGCCAAATTATCATTAGTTGCAGGTAACATAATCTGCTACATAGAAGACTCTAAGCATTTTGCCAAAACATTCTTAGAATATCCAGATTCAGCAGTGTACTGGGATAAAAGACTAACACACAAAAAGCAATAGCATTCCTATATACCCATAAAGAACTCATTAAGAAAGAAATTAGAAAAACAATACCATTCACAACAGGAACAAGAAAATTTAAATATTTAGCAAATAACCTGACCAAGGAAGTGAAAGACCTGTACAACAAAAAGTATCCTGAAAAGAAGATATAACATCAGAAAATGGAAAGGTGTCCCTTATTCCTGGATACATGGTGCCAATATTTGAAAATGGCTATACTTCCAAAACAGATATACAGATTTAGTGCAATCCCAAAAAATTGCCAGAGAAAACAATCCTGAAATTCATATGGAACCAAAAGAGACCCAAAAAAGCAATCCTGAGAAATAAGAACAGAGCAGGAAGTATTCATAATCTCACATTTCAGGTTATATTACAAAGCTACCTTAAGAAAAATTGCATAATTTGGCACAAAAACAGATTTGGGAATCAATGAAAAAAATAGAGGACCCAGAAACAATCCCAGCACAATCAGATACCTGATCTTTAAAGGACCCAAAATATATTCAGGAGAAAAGATAACTTCTTAATGAATGAGTGCTGAAAAAGTTGGCTCTCCCTATGCTGAAGATTGAACTACAACCTCTCATCCTACACTAAACTAAAATCAAAATGGATCAAAGATCTAAATGTCAAAACAGAAGCATTTAACCTTCTGGAAGTTAAAATAGATAAAACTCTTAAAGACATAGGCATAGGACGAGAAAATGGCAGCTAACTAGAGGATCGGGCGGAGAGTCTCTCCGGAGAAATCATATTAAAAGCTAGAATATCACAACATGGAGAGGGCCAGACAAATGGATAATGATTCGTATTAACCAAGACAGTGCAGCTGGAGGATTTAAAGTCGTGCTGAGACTGTGAAGGCTGAAAACGGGAAGATGCAAATCCCGCGCCTTTAAATCAACAGTTTAACCCATGGACGCAACAGGAAAAGCTGTGTTGGCTTTTGACTGCCCAGCTACACCAGAGGAGATTGTGAAAGACTCTCGAGCTCCAAAGCCAAACGCTGCTCCGCACTGTGCTGGGAGGGCACGCCGCGCGGGTTTCTGACCCTTCCACACCGTACCGGGAGTGCACGCAGCGCGGATTTTTGACTGCTCCGCGCCGCAAGTGCACGCCGCGCGGGTTTCCGACAGTTCTGCACTGAGCCGGGGCTGCACGCAGCGCGGATTTCTGACCCCTCCACGCCATACAGGGAGTGCACGCAGCGCGGATTTCTGACTGCTCCGCACCGTGCCGCAAGTGCACACCGCGCGGGTTTCCGACGGTTCCGCACTGAGCCGGGAGTGCACGCAGCGCGGATTCCTGACCACTCTGCACTGTACCAGGTGCTGCGCGAATTTCTGACCGTTCTGTGCTGTACCGGGAGTGCACGCTGCGTGGATCTCTGACCGATCCGCGCTCTGCCGGGAATGTGGGAAAGGTGGGCGGCGTGGACCCTGGTGAGTACTGGAGACCCTGCGACTGCCAGGGTTGGCCAGAGAACATCTTGGAACGGGACAGTGCCCGCCACCACGGGAACATCAATAACACAGAGTCTGGTGGCAGCCATTTTACAGTTGGGCAGAACCTACAGCTCAGTGGCGTCACTGAGCCCCCTGTAGGGAGGGCTAGTGGAAGGCATCTTGGAATTGGGCAGAGCCTGAGTACGTGTTGGCTTCAGCCTCATCCAGAGAACTGGTGGGAGACATCTTGAGTTTGGGCAGTTCTGCTGTGCTGGTGCTCCTGACACAGAGAGGTCTGGAAGAGAACAGCTGAGATTTGGGCAGGACCCTGTGCCATAGTGACATTAGTCAGCTGCTTCTGGTACAAAGAGAACTGGCAGGAGATACTGGGGCTAAACCAAGCCTCTGCTTGGGGCCCAATGAGCGGATACAAAATAGTCACAACTCAGTGACAACCAGAAAGCACAGCCTAATTTAGGAACTAACTGGCACAGAGGCTAGAGACTAGCCTGTACCGCCCCTGCATCCCAGTCTACCCCAGATAACAGTAAATTGGGGAGGACAGCAAAAACTCAAGCCAGCACACTTCTGAAAGGCCCTAAGCAATTCGGAGAGGGCCAGAGAACTCCAGGACAGTCTGAAAGAAACCAGAAACATGACAAGAGATAAAAATAAAAAAAAATCTCCAGCTGCCCAACAGGAGAAAATAAGCCCAGGAGAACTAAACACTGAAGAGAACAAGCACAGTAACCATCCACTACTCGACACAGCATCAGCCGAAATTAAAAAGTACCTACATGATCTCATAGAGGAATTTAAAGCTGTACTCCTGATTCAAGTGAGGCACGATATAAAGAGATTAATTAAAGAAATGACAAGCCCCGCCCAAGAGAACACAGATGGAAGAACTGAGGAAATCAGAAAAGAAAGAGAAGCATCTGAAGAAGAATTTAAGCATAACCTAGAATACATGAAACAGATCCAAAGAGAATATCAGGAAACTAAAAACTCCATTGAACATTGGCAAAATGCCTTGACAGAAACTAAAGACAGCCTTCTGAAACTTGAAGAGAGATTTAGGACATATGAACGTGAAAGAAAAAGCCTCTTAAAAATAACAAGGAACCAGAAAGAAGCAATTCTAAAACTGGAAGATGACAAAAAGATACATAACCTAAGAATAAAGAATGTGAGTGAGGAAGCAGGAACATCCAAAAATGAAATACAAAAAATATTCACAGAGATATTAAAGCAAAATTTCCCATATATAGCAAAAAGAAGTGATATCCAGATAAAAGAAGCATACAGAACACCAGCTACCTA